CACGAACCATTAGACGTTATGGCAACTGGGACAAAAAAAGAGAAAAGAAGCTGCTCTCCTCCTCTGAAACGACTCCTCCACCTCTCCTCAGTGGTCGAGGTTGTGCGGCAGGATCAGGATGAGCCCGGTGACGTCAACCTTTTGTTATCACCTTTAACACTTTGCCTTCGCAAGGTGGGAAACACTTTCCTGCCCGTCGTTACTGTTCAGATGCGCTTATTTGCAGACGAGCCGCGAGCGAGGAGCGTGCACAACATCTGGATCACGAGGGAGGACGACACTAGGGTATACATGCATGCGTGTCCTAATGAGAATATGGGATACTAGCAGTGGGAGACAACTTAGAGAGACGGCTATACCATAGTTTGAAAAAGCACAAGATAACCACACTTCAAACTTCATCCCAGCTTCTCTCAGGAAAGGAACTTATTTGTGGCACAAAACTAATCATGTTCATGAAAATCACAGTGATAAAAATATGATCATGGTGATGATTTGGCAGGCAAATTGAGGTCTGCTTAATCCTCACTGGTTGTTATCGTATGCAAAAAAGAAAAACACAACAAATAGCTAGACAGCTCAACTACACAAGCCCAGTTTCATTCAGTTAACACCGGCTTTGACCAAGAATGTATGCTCCTTTAGTGCCTGAATAAAATATGTTTGTCTCATAAAAGACAGTTTATACAGTAGGTATACGGACAGTACAGGGGAGCAGTTCAGTAGCTCTAAACCTGCATGATGCCAGTCAGTGTGCCAGCTGACTGGCTCCTGGCTCCTGGCTAGCTAACCTAGCCAGTCAGAAACACACACAGTCCCATTGTTGCCTTCTCTAGCTTTCCTAATATTAATGCCACAATCCAAGAGGATGTCACACAGTGTCAGGCAGCCGCCGTGTTATCAAGATACAACTACTTACTCTCCGTTTACCTCTGCGAAAGGCATTGTTTAGTACGTCGCCATGGTTTAAAACAGACAGATTTGCTCCCGTTCCCCTGCGCTGCCGAATCACTGCTGCTGCTGCTGTCTGCGGCAGCAACTTCCGGCGCATGCGCAGCAACAGGGACCGTTCCAGACTGCGCCGTGCGCTGCGCAGGACGGCCGAGAGGTTTAAAGGGACAGTCAGCGGGAAGTTTAATTGGACGCCAAGCGAAAGGTGAAAATATCATGTTAAATCATTGTGCCGACTGTAAGATATAAAAGTACATGTAAATCGTTGAAAGTATTCATATTTAAATTGTTTTCAATTATAGTAATGATCATTTCATAAGCTGTTATGGTGTTAAATTTGCTTTTCATGACCAGTGGTGGAAAGTAGCTTAACATCTTTAGTCAAAAGCACAATTTCGAGGCACTTAAATTGACTACAACTTAAATTAAAAAGAAAATCACGCAAAATCTCGGATATATTGTCCAATTGTAACAATCGTCTTCTTGTTGCACTTTCTTGATAAATGTTCGAAACGTTTTTATTCTGAAGATCAATTACTGTCAGACAGTGTTCCCCTCATCTTTCACACACAGGTACACAGGAAACTCAATTATCCCAACCTTTGACGTTCACGTGCATGCAGATTTGGGTTGTAATACAATAATGATGTGCATTGAGTAAGCAATAATTGTCTGAGATGTTTCAGATGTTTCATTTAATAACGATAATCATTCTTTCTTGCATTAAAACATACATCTTGTTCGTGTTCGTTTCACTGACCTAAATGTAACACTCATCTGGCACGCCGGCACAAGATCTGCCTGGAGCATGTATCAACCTTGCATTTTTTGCATCGGTGCGCTCTGCACATATTGTGTTATGAATCTTGTGGGGAAGATAAAAAAAAAAAAAAAACAGAGAGAAGACTCCGCGGTCAATAGTGTCACATGCTCTGTGATTTGATGAAAGGTTCTATTTGTGCTGCCTGATGTGTATGGCTCCCTAATCAAACACTTATATTTCTGTGACAACCAAAATAAATTACTCCATTACAACCACCCACCTGCCCTCTCCACAGTATTGATGCCATTTTATTACCAGAGAGAGACAGATGGACGACAGTGAACATTGTGGCAAGTCATGGGAATGCTGGAGAACGTGTGCCCTCGACCGAGTCGTGTCATGTCAGGCTGGAACCGGCACAAAAGTAATCAAATAAGATGATTAGAGGGGAAATTACACACGCTCAACTCCTGCAAACATTTCTGAAAGCATTGTGGAGGCCCGGGTTCCAGTACGGACCGGCCTTATTACAATACTCCAGCCAATTTCGGCATGCAAGCTTCACTTCCCCCATCAGCAAGTGAAAGAGGGGAGAATTTGGTGTGAAAGCCCAATCACACGCGGCGCTCCGAGTTCAGCAGGTGGGGAAGTAGCAGCAGCAGGCTCCATCCCGCAATAATACAAAGTTAATGATGCAGAATGGTGTCTTTCTCCATACCAAAGAAGACGTCAATACAGGATGTTTAAGGACGCTGTTCCTAATTACGCTTTTTAAATTCGCCACTGACGTGATTGATGATTTCAAAGAGAGGCGCTATTGATCCACTTCACAGACAAGTCCCATCGATTGCAAGTCTAGAATGAATAAAAGTTTTTTTGCCCCCCCCTTTATCTCCCCCACCGAGCGAGAGATTGTACAATCAGAGCATCAGCGTGACCTATATGGGTAGTTTGGGAGCTAAATCACCTCTTTTTAAAACGCAGACGAATGGAGCAGTGATTGCCGAATCGAGGGACCTTATAGGGGACCTTCGGGGCATCGCGTAAGAAGTAACAGTGAAATCTCAGCGCTTTCTCATTCATCGAGTGTTGGAGATTCATCCATCCACTCATTAATCTGCGGGGAGCCTTTGCAAATAGCTCCATATCTGCGTTGGACTCCTCAGCATGAAAGAAGTTCAGGAGCTGCTGTTTCACAGACAGCCAGCTGTGCCGCATCACGTCTCTCACTGCAATCAGCGGTGATGGAGCGATGGATGCTCCGACGCACCGGCAGATTATTTTTTTTTGTTGCTTCCTTTGAACATGCCCCATGGCACGCACGTATTATTCTATGAACTTTGTTATTCCACGCGAGCAGCCAGATCTTCCTATTAGTGCAGAAGCTGCTATGGCATGTCTAATCCCAGCACGTGTTCTTAGCAAGTCAACAAGAGGCGCTGCCAGAGCACAGGCTGATGTGGCAGAAAGTCTGACATCACCTGCAGGGGGAATTCTGCATATTCAGGGCCATTTGACCTATCCCCCATCAATACAGAGGGTGCTGCTGTTCGAATTACAGAAAAACAAGATTGATTAGGAATCAAACTGAATTGGAGCAGCAGAGGGAAGCTTTCCATCACACCATGCTGAATCTCATTGGCAAGTGCACTTCAGATGGCAAAGTGCGCTACAGCTTATGATTAAATGGTCTGCAGGCGAAGCCTTTTTGTCTTTTTTGAGTGTAGAGAGAGAGAGAGAGAGAGAGAGAGAGAGAGAGAGAGAGAGAGAGA